CAGTGCAGCTTAAGAAAATACATAACAGGTTGTAAATTATTAATAAATAAAAATAATGGAGGAATACAAGCGGAGAGTTATGAATACGGAAAACAGACAATGCTCCTATTTATCGACTTTCAGCAAGCATATGACAAAGTTAAAAGGACGGAGGTGTTTAGAGCATTAACAGAATTAGGGGTTAGCAAGAAACTGACTAAGATGATAAAATTGACACTCCAAGAGACAGTAAATGAAGTCAAAGTAAACAAGAAAACAACGGAAAAATTTATAATCAGGGACGGATTAAGACAGGGGGATCCGCTATCTCCAGTACTGTTTAGTGTAGTGTTAGAAAAAAATATAAAAGACGCGGGAATCAACAGAGAGGGCCTTCTGTATACAAAAAGACACCAATGCTTAGCCTTTGCTGATGATTTGGTCATCTTAGAAAGAGATCGGAAAGACCTGATATCGGTGACCAAAAGACTAGAAAATCAAGCGCAAAAAGTAGGCTTAATGCTTAATGAGAAGAAAATTTTCTTCTTTCTTTTTTTTTTTTTGAGAAGGGAAGATGTCTACAATTGAAGTCTGAGAGAGGTAAACGATACAAGTTTGAGGAAGTAGATACATTCACATATCTGGGAGCAGTATTTCTAAGGAATCCAAATGTAACTCAAGAAATTATGGCAAGAATAATGACAGGAAATAGATGTGTCAGCGCATTACAGAAAATTATTAAGAGTAAGAACATTTCTAGAAGTTTAAAAATCAGAATGTACCAAACAATGATAAGACCAATAGTGCTGTATGCATGTGAAACGTGGACGTTCAATGCAACAGAAAGTTCGAGGCTAGAGATTTGGGAAAGAAAAATACTGAGGAAGATTTTTGGAGGAAAGAAGATAGACAACATATGGACCAGAAGAACAAATGAAGAAGTAAAGCAACTATATCGGGCACCGAGTATAACGGGAGTAGCAAGAGCACAAAGACTGAGATGGCTGGGACACATTGAAAGAATGGCCGAAGCAAGAATTCCTAGTATGATAATAAAACGTGAAATAGGTGGAAAGAGAAGGAGGGGTAGACCGAGAATCAGATGGAAAAAGGACGTAGAAGAGGACTTGAGAAGGATAAGAGTGGATGGGTGGAGAATAAAGGCGAAAGACAAAAACAAATGGAGAAAGATAACCAATCAAACCATGAGCCTTTTAGGCTTTTAGAGCTATTTTATATATGTATATATAAAAATAATGGAGTAACGAAATTACTGGGCAAGGACTATAGTACAGTAAAAAGGATATTTTAAGTTTAAGAGGAAAAACAGACGATGTTAAAAACTGAATTTTACAGAAAAAAACTGATTTAATATTTATAAAAATAATAAAAATAATATCATGCTAAAGGCACAAAAAGCTATTGCGTTATTATTTAGACATTGTTTGTTATATACCTTTAGCAACCTTTAGTAAATGTTACTTTCACTAGTGAATATTAGAAATTACTAGGAAAATGAAATAACTAGTGAATATTAGAAATTACTCGACAAATCTTTTTAAAATACCACATTCACTGGTCCAATGCGTAATTGCTAGCATTTTCTAGTGAATGTTAACAATCACTGAATTTCCGACTTTCACTGTAACATATACAATTACAGTGTTTAGCATGTTTTGGGACTTGATATTCTCAAAAGATCAAGTTGATGACTAATAAATTTCTATAAAATGGACATCGTTGGGTTTTCCCCTTACCTTCCATTTGTTAATCTGCATATTTCTCACCAGATAAAATACAGAAACTATTACAAAAAATCTTACTATTTATACGAAAAAAGAAAAAGTTCCTCGGAACTTACGACCAAGAAAAATCAAAGATTGTTGTAAGAACAATCTTTGGATTGCCCCGGGGTTTCTAACAGGACACTGTCTCCCCAACGAATACCTCAGTAGATTGAAGCAGAGTAACAACGGCGAATGCAGATTCTGTGGGGAAAATGGGGAAAAAACAGAACACCTTATGACTGAGACGACAACTGTTCGTGCCATAAATTTTGGTACGGCTGTTGTCGAAGATGGAGAGCTGGCTTCTGTGGAGTTGTCTCAGATACTGGCTTTTGTTAAAGCCCTGAGACTGTATGATGAGTTATAACTTGTTATAACTCAAGAAAGGGGAACACACAATAGATCTGTAAGGTCGCGGTGATTAACTCCCCTTCTAAACATTCTACATTCTACCCGGTATAGATAGAATAAATTCATCCATCACAAATCTACGTCAAAACATGGTCATCACTTGATTTGAGTTAATAAATACATATATGTTACAATTATGAAAAATGGAGTAACGTTACATGACCTAAAACCAGTGGTGGACTAAGCTTGTCGGGGGCCCGGGGCGGCGAAGCTAAATGTGGCCCCGGTCTGTTTAGATAATGATATACTTCTAATGCACGTTTTGTAAAAATTGAATGAATATGGCGGCACTTTCGGAAGTACCGGAAGTTGACAGCAACTTTCTTTACTTTAAATGGGTGCCCTCATTTTTTATTGCATACTTAAATATTCTGTCAAATTTTATGAATTTTGATATTAAACACTCTATACCTAACGTTAACCGTTTTTGAGGAAAAAAAATTATAATTTTAGAGGAAAAAACTGCCTGTCAAAAATATGTATATAGCCTAAACGTCAAATTTAATGATTGCCACAGCCACTGTACCATAAAGAGAAGACATATGTTATGTAAGGACAAAATTAAATTGTCCGAATGTCATATAATAATGGCCGCAACTGTCATGGAATTGAGCGATTGAAAAATTATCATAAATCATTTTTTTTCAGATGGAAATCCCTTTTTTATTTCACTCGTGAAAAGGCTTTCGTTACTTTCGTTTTAAAATTTGTTACTTTTTACTATACATGTTCCTGTACCTAAAATAAATCGTTTTTAAGTTATTTAATATTTTTTCTTGATTTTAACCAGCAGCCTATGACAGTATTATCGATCATCATTTCCTAACTTTGCGCTGTTTTTTTTTATCGTACGGTATATTATTAAAATATCAACTATTAGACATCACTAAAGAACGAAAATACGAGATATATTTATATAAATACACTTTTTAAACTTTTAAGCAGCAGTAGTTATAGTATAGGAATATGTCTAGTTAAAACGTAACGAATTGGAAAACCTTTTCACTAGTGAAAAAAAAAAGTGGGTTTCCATTTGAAAAAAATATTTATGATAATTTTTAATCGCTCAATTCCATGACAGCTATCGCCATTATTATATGACATTTGAACAATTTAATTCATTTGATTTTTGAAATAGATAGCCACATGTCTTTTCTTTTATGTCACGGGGCTGTGATAATCACTAAATTTGACTCTTAGGCCGTACAAATTTTCTTGACAGGTATTTTTTCGTCCAAAAATTTTAAATTTGTCCTCCCTTTTAATAAGTCCTCCAAGATCCGAGGGGCCCCTTCGCTGTCCCAGGCCCGTGGCCCCCGTTATACTAAAGACTTCACTGCTCATCATCAGTTATGAAGCTAGAATACAAGTTATGCTGTGCATTGGTTGTAATTTAAAATGTTTATTCAGAAAAAATAAATAATGAAACCATTGAAAGATAACTTAGAAGCTAAAATAAATAAATTCAGTCTCAAAATATATAATTTTTCGATATTTTAAACAAAGAAAATTACCCCTTGATTTAATTTCCTAAATAGAAAATGCCATTGACAATTACTGGGGCCCTTTGAATAAGAAGACTAAGGAAGGAGCATATCAAAAATCTTAGGTACACCGCGATGGGCCTCAAATATGGCCGACTTAAAATCCGGTTTATCAGTGTCGTTCTAATTTTATTTAAAAAATGTAAAACTATGATGTAGGGTAGACGTGGGGTAGACTCAATAATTTGTTGTATTATTTTACGTTGTGAATAAATGTTGGTAGTTATTAAAATTGTTATAAAAATACATAATTCTAATAAAAATAGATGTTATAATAAGTATTTATTAACACAAACATCCGATACGCTACTGAAGCAAGTCAAATTAACGTATCTAAATTCTTTGACATCTAATCTTTGACAAGTAATAAATAAAAGCTAAAATGCAAGAAAAAAATATAATTTAGTTAATTTAAGTGAATTTCATAAATGATCGGTTTACTACACGTATGTATATTATATAGTCACTTACTAGCGAAAAGTTCTTCCATTATTTCACTCAATTTTTGCCGAGATCTACCGCACGCTACACAACCAACTATTTTGGCGTCTTTTTCGATAAATCGCGATAGTGTCACTGTTAATTTAAGTTCTGCCACAATTTCCATCTAGATTTACTACCTTTATACAACTATCAGTAGTAGAATAAATAATAAATAACATAAAATAAGCTCCGTAAAGATTGACAAATCCACAAAATTTCAAATCAAATTCAAATGTGTCAAATGCATCGTCAAACAGAACTGTCAAGGATCCCCACCCTAGAGTGCTTTTATGGCGCTTTTTCCGCCCACCATGCATGAATACATGGATAGCCATTATGCTCCTTCCTTAGTCTTCTTATTCAAAGCTGGGGCCTGATAATTGATAATTAAGTAAATATCTGCTTCCATTTATACTGTTTATAGTTGGCGTATACGTATGGTTTGCATACTCCACCTACAAACTGCTTTATAACTACTGCTTTATAACTACTGCTTTATAACTACTTTATAACACATATTGGCCTTGTTTGCCAGTTGAATAAAAAATTACTTATTAAGATTCGGAGGCCCCCTAGAAGACGGGGACAGGGGCGGGCCGCCCCTTCCGCCCCCCCCCCCTAGTCCGCAACTACCTAAAACAGTTATTCTGTAAAATTGTGTATTTGTGTATACGTATTACTCTGGTGCTATTTATTCAAATTTCAATTAAGACAAGCAAATTACTAACTAACTTTATATAAAAGTCATAAAATCATATTAAAAACGCTACAATATACATCAAGAAAGGCGACCTACCGTAAAATCGAGAAACACAATAGTTAATCTGCATATTCCTCCACGCATTTTAAATTCACTACGCACAATTGCAACAAAACCGATCACAAATATCGTCTCTGCATCTACAATTATTATACTGCAACACTAACCGTAACACCTCTAGCCGACTAGGAGTTATTGCACAAGACGGTTTTCTACAACCGCTCATATATGTACACTAAATTAAAAATAGGAAATTGAAAATTGGCTAGGTATGTGTGGTCGTCTGAAGGTCGCGATCGTTTGCCATCTTCCTCTATCGAATAAAAATACAAAACCAGAAATCCACCGGTTAAGAAAGAATAGCCGGCGTCGCCGCTGCGAAAGTATTATGTAATGCTTGTATTACATAGGTCTAATTATAAAGCAGTGATTCACATTTTCTGTTAAGCATAGTTCTTCGTTTTTTTTTCATGTTTGATTCGTGGAGAGTGAAGAATCGGTGCTATTTTTCATGTAAAAAGAGAAAAAATGTTGTTTTTTTGGTGGTGTGGGAAATGGATCGGAGATGAAGGTCGTCAACAGTGGGTTTGGCCAGGATTAAATTCATTTTTCGGTAATTAACACCTGAAATTAATTATAAAGGTGACTGCTTCTGGACTAGTTCTTTATACAGGGAGGATTTCGCAATTGGGAGTATCTCTTGTATGAAAAATGTTATATGGAAAATCTGAAATACCCTCATTTCAATACTAAATGATTTGTGCCTGAAGAAGCGATAATAAAATCGCGAAACACTGCATAAAACATAATTGTTACCTTTGAGCCTTCCTAAATGGCTTTTTTCTACGGAATACAAACAACCAAACTTATATGGAATCATTCTTTATTTCTGACTAAATTTCTTGCAATGATAAAAATTTGTATACGACTTTAAGATAAGGCTTTTTGTTGTAAATAAAATGGTAATAAAGAATAAAAGACTGGCTGGCGATTTATTTTCTTTTGGATTTTGTGTTCAGTAGTAAAATCACGATTGTTCGGTATTTTCATTCCATCCAAAAGAAATGCCTTATGTTGGATTAACAGATGTACAGAGGGGAAGAATTAAGCTCTCACCGAACAAGGATTGCTCCAAGGAGACGTAGCAGAGATAGTAGGCGTTACCCAGGGTGTTATCGAAAACATATGCAAGGTACTTGGAATTAGGAACACACAAGGATAGGCCCAGACAAAGTCGTCAAAGAGTCACAACTGAACGACCAGACCGCCTTGTGGGCCAAATTGCTAGAATAAATCCCAATGTTTCGCATCTAGAACTACAAAGACAATTTCTGGCAGCTACAGGTGTGAACTTTTTTGTTGAAACCATAACAAAAAAGCTTCGTGCTCGAGGATTTTACAGTAGGAGAAAGCAAAATAAAATTGACCGGCAAAATTTATGCCTTCAACATCAAAACGGAACAACTGAGAATTGGCAAAATATTCTTTTTTCGGATGAGACCAGAATTGGCCTAAGATCAGATAACCATCGAATATGGGTTCTCAGAACTCCAGAAAGACAAGCGCGACTTCATGCTTTTCTGTACTAAGATATGAAGGAGGAGCTATAATGTTCTGGGGAGGTATTATACTGGGAGCAAAAACTCCATTGTTACCACTTCAACAAACTTTAATGGGTCGGAGATATTAGAGTCATATTATGTTGACTTGGTGCTAGACCCAATCGTTAGTCTTTGGAGAGCTGCAATTGGTTATAATTTTAACTTCTTGAAACGGAAGGTGTCATAGTTTTGGACTGGCCCTGCATGTTCACCAGATCTAAACCCTATCGAACACTTGTGGGACTAGCTCAAACGAAGGGTTAGAGCTCGTCGAAACAATCCAGGAAATCTTGCACAGCTTATTGATGCAGCATTAGCAGAATGGAAAAACATACCCCAACACAACGTTGATAATTTAATAAGATGGCAACAACGAATATTTAAATTATCAATTTTCTTTTTGTTTTTGTTTTTTGGCCATTAAAAATAAATAAATTTTGTTTATTTTGGGAACTGATTAATTTTTTTTTATTGCTATATGGATTATTTTTCATTAAAAGTCATTGGTAAGGACTGAGTTTTATTCATAAACACAAAATTTTCATACGTCTCAAAAATCATGAAAAATAATAGATGATTCCATATAAGTTTGGTTGTGTGTAATTACTGTGAACAACCAATAATCATAATCTCAAATACATATGGTAAAATTGAAGATTGGAGTGGGAAGATTTATTTTCCCGATGTATATTTGAGACCGTTATTTCCTATTTTTGTGTAAAGATTATGTTAAAATGATATTCACTATGGAATATGCTATCAGGCAAGCTTTTAGATATTTTCAAACATATCCCGCTATAAAAAAACAGAAGAAAAATATATTCAGTGGTAACAGTTTAAAAGTAAAATATTTCATTCCCAAATAAAGTTTTAATATGTGTATGTCTGTAGTAGTAAAAACCATTTTGATTGTTTTGTTATCTATCACGGCCTACTAATAAGAAAATTATGTCTTTTAAATATTGCAGTAAATAGTGAAAATAAATACAAAGTAATATATATTTTTGAGAAGTTTATAGTAAGACAAATCATCTGATTTAAAAATATACAGGGTGTTCCATTTGGAAAAACATAACTTTAATTCATATTTTCAAAAATATTTATTTCGGAGGAAAACAGACTAAGCCACTGTATTCTACGTAAAAAGTTTTACAAGAATCAGATTTCACCTTCTCGATACTTTTCACTATAACAGAGATACGGGGCCTGTCCCAAATTGCAACATTTTCGAAAAGACCCTGTAGCTCAGAAACGAAGAGGGCTATGAAAATTTTGTTTACAGTTTCTTCAGTTTGACAAAAAAGTGGGTCAGGTTCGTGCAAACCGCATCTTTCTATCTTTACTAATAAGGGAGATACCGTATGATTTCAACTAAAATGGGACACCCTGTAACGGGCGGCCAACTAAGAATGGACGCCGCGCCGGCTGTATCTCAGAAACTATTTATCGTATAACTTTTGGGGAAAAATATTTTCAAGTTCGAAAAATGTCTGCTAGGGGGCGCTTCTCTGATAGCGAATCAGAAAACAGGGGTTTTCTCAAAAATATGGAGGTGAACATGTATTTTTTTAGATATTACTATTGTAATCATCGAGAAATTTGTAATTTTTTTGATATGAGTATTTTGCTCTATCTCATAAAATAAACTGGTGGGGGAAGGTTAAACTTGCTTTTATTAAAATAAGGATAACTCTGGTTTAGGTTAGCCGATTTAAACAAACTAGGGCTCGTTTAAAAGAGATGCTGGCTAGAGGGCGCTGTTTGACATCATAACAGATATTGGGCTTTTGCATAAAAAAATTAAATAGGAGGCTATATTTCTCTTTGCACAGTTAAATAGAGCACAAAGTTTCCAAAATAAAGCAGCAGCTGCTTTAGTTGAAATCTGGGAAAATCTGCATCAAGATGAGATGGATAATGTATATTCATAATGCTAACCTAGCTGAATTTGTTTTAAAAAACAATAATGCGCAAAGTTTCTGAAACAGATCATTAGGTAGTTTGAAAAGTTCTACATCTTTTTTGTTCTTGGATCATTTCTGATGGACACTAAAGATATCTACTTCTTCAACATCAAGAATCCGTTTTCGAGAGCAATTAACAGCAGTAATAAAAACTTATTATAATAATAGGTCCCGTATATAGCGGTTAACGCCTTGGGAGTAGCAAGGTACAGCTTGCCATGCTAGAGCCGTTCGGTATACAAGGAAGGTAAAGTGGCTAGGACTATGCTTCAACTGCCCTTTACCTCAGGATTATAAATCCCAAGTACTCGTTTAAGGCTGAGTCGACCTAGGTACCCAAACTATTTTCCTTTTATTAAAAATAGTTGGCTGATGAACTGCCGGCTGTAGGATTCGAACACACAACCTTTAGATTGGTAGACGAGAGCTGTACTAGGCCTGTTCCAAACACCGGAACACCGTTTTAACACCGGTGTTGGGCTGACACCGGTGGCCAAATATAGGCTATCCGGTGTTCCGGTGTCGACACCGACACCGGTGTTGGTACCGACACCGGTGTTGACACCGACACCGGTATTGATACCGACACCGGTGTTGACACCGACACCGCTGTTCGTTTCGATACCGATGTTCATCTACAACACCGGCGTTCATCTCGACACCGTTGTATGAACACCGGTGTTCACCTCGATACCGGTTTTGACTACGACAGCGGATTTGATATCGACACCGGTGTTTGGTAAACGGGTTAAAGAAGAAATAATGTTAATTAATAAGTTCAAAATAAACCTGATAATAATAATGTCGTAGCGGTGCTTATTTTTATCGTTTATTATAAAGCGCACCCGCTTTAACTTAGAGCTTTCAAATTTAAATATAATTTTTTTGCCAGGCTAATTACTAAAATAAAGTGGAAGCGTCGGATAAACAACTATAAAGTAAAAAAATGTTTAATCAAAAACAAATACAAAACAAAACAAAAGAAAACATAAAAAAAAAAACAAAAATTCGTAGCTGTAAAATAAACTAAAAAATATTACATTAAAAAAAATTAAAAAAACGACACCATCGACATCGACACCGACACCGGTGTTGATCTCGACATATTGGTGTTCATCGTGATACCGGTGTTGAGATAAACATCAGTGTTGAGATAAACACCAGTGTCGAGATAAACACCGGTGTCGAGATAAACACCGGTGTCGAGATAAACACCGGTGTCAAGATAAACACCGGTATTGTAGATGAACACCGGTGTCGAGATAAACACCGGTGCTGAAATGAACACCGGTGTTGAGATAAACACCGGTGTCGGTGTTAACACCGGTACACCGACTGAAACACCGGTGGTCATCAACACCTAACACCGGTGTTCAAATCTCAACACCGAACAGGTCTAAGCTGTACAGTACCTCTACGCCACCGGGCACCTATAAAAAAATTAAAAACCCCTATATATTTGACAATTTTCAAAAAACAACCGAGAATATCATAATTCTGTGATAATGCCTTGATATCGTCTCTTTTTCGATTTGAAAAAAATAACAATAATTATTCTATTTTATAAAGATAAATTCAATTTATAACCAAATTGTTTAATATATTGAAACATTTTAAAACCGTACCGTAGTGCAACATTTAACACTGAACACGCCTATGCCAATTATTGACTAGGAGTATTATTCAGGCCACATCTGTTATCAAACAAGACATCAAATGCTCAT